AAAAAAAACTGCGCTTATTCGAAAAGCAGCATTTCTGACGTTAAAAACAATCTCAAACCATGCATAAAACTCACATTGATTCTCTCTGGAACTTGATTCATGAAACTATAAAACTGCTAATAGAAGTGGTTATCAAGACAGATAAGTCAGGATTTTTCATTTTTATTCTTCTTATTTTTTGAAGGTAAAAACCCTGCCACGAGTAAAAGGTAGTAATTATAATCTAGTTCTACAGCAGAGTCATAAACATAATAAAAACAATCTCCATTTCGTGTGAAGAGGAGAATAAGATACAATGATGATAATAAAGGCACTGAATTTCTCTATTCACAAGCTAACTTGGTGTCAAAGCTGCTCAAGCAGATTGCAAAAGCCTGAAAAGCAGATAGGGGATATCGATAATCCATCGTGAACATATCCTTGCCGACTTTGCCAAATTGGAGGATGATTTTGTCGTGGTCAGATTGGGTTGGCTGAGAAGGCAGTGGTGCATTAGTGGCGGCCGCTGGTGGTTGCGTGGAGGCGATAAACTAAAAGTTCTTGACCGATGCAACTGTCACCCGTCCTCTGAAATTGAGGCACCAGTATTGTAATTGTTCGTGCCATCTTGGCGCCTTGTTCTTGAGAATCAAGGGTCTTCCTTTACCATCATCGTCCTCATTGCACACGCCAGCAATATCGGAAAACCGTGAGCTACAGAACTCGGTCGAGTGATCAAGAGATTTCAAGAAAGAAATGCTCCGGAATGAGTCCTCAAGGGACCTTGGCATGAGTTCAGGTTGTCCAGGGACCACGCCTCCGGGATCAACTGCTGAGGCAGGTATTGAGTGCATGATGCAGTTCATCCTGCGCGGTCCCCGTGTCCCAAGCACGTTCAGTTCGTACGTGATTTGGGCTATGGTGTAAGTGCCAGAAGGTACTTTGGGAGATACTTTCTTGGAGTTGAATCTTCGACTAGTTTTCCCAGGTGGAGGGACACGTGAACAAGTATGAGGAGGCTGTGTATCATACATTAAAAATTTCGTGCCGAGAAAATCTGATCTGCAACAATCAGTAAGATTTAGTATCGAGGATAGATAAATTACTATCATCATCATCATCATCCAAGACAAATACTACAATAGGATCAACATATATAAAAGCACCAGTCTTGAGAAGAAAGCATAAACTGAACATATATACAATCAAGACCTTTGAAGCAAAAGCACGCCGACAAGGACCACAAGGTGTCCTATACCCTATTTTTCTAGTACAAAGTTGAAATGGTAAATCAAATTTCGTGCCAAGTACTTGAGGCCTTGGAGGCAATACAAAGGAACATTTTTAATTCTCTCATAGAAGTTGAATGCTTTCAGTCAAAGGCACCAGGAGAAATAAATATACAAGTACAGATTTTACTGAATCCATACATTTTTTTGCACGTTAAAAACAAATGATAAAAATGATAACCTATTAACCGAATTTTGAGAGTAGCAGGCAACAATTAAGTTCACGTAGATTGTGCAAGTCAAGCATAATTCAGGCAAATATATAAGGATAATTCATTTCATTCGCTTCTGCAAGCCTAAGAAAACTTCACTGTATCTTGCCCTTGGCCTTAAATAATGTACCATTGACTTGTTTGCTTCCTTATTTAAGATAAATTAACTTCTAAAGAAATTATATATTAACGAATTTTGCTAAAGTTGCTTCAATATGAATTTTCATCCACCTAAAATTGCCAATAATAATCTTTAGCACATGGCAAATGAAGTATGATAATTTCCGTTATCTTCTTGTGCCTTCTAATGTTATTCTTGAGCCTCCCTTTTGCTCTTTTGCTTGGTTCTTTATTTAATAGATCTTTTGCTCCTCTTAATGTTACATTAATTGATTATTTGTAAATGATTTATGTTTATTTATGCCAGAAGACACATCCCAGAAAACATTCAATACGAATTCCTTTTCAACACAATTTTTAAATTTTATTTTCACATTTGCACACTTTCCTGGTTTCATCCTATTGGTATGCATTCTCAAATGAACGTAATGTCACCAACAAAACTATACAACTCTATTCAACACAGGAGAAACAATCATCATTTTTCCAAATTACAAATTGACATAAATTAATATAATAACTTCTAAGAAATCCCTAGAACTAGAATTTCAATTATAAACTCCAGTATGTATCCCCATAAGAAATTTGTCTCTCTCGTACATTCTCAAGACATCACAAGAAACATTTATCTAACATGGGAGAAAGTAATAACACAAAGGCAGATATAATAGAATAAAAAAATTTATATTCAATGTTACCTTAGTTTTCCAATACATGTGCTGCTTGATCTAGAAATATTATCTGCGCCCATTGAGATAACATACTCTGTACAAGTAGTTCATCGAGTTCTTTTTGCAGAGAGAAGAAAATTTGCAAAGCTGGTAAAATTAAATTGCAACTAAC